TACAGTAGATATCCCGACACAGCTAAAACACACATATAAAATCCAAAGAACCTAAAATGGTTCTTACCTGAATCAGTCAAATTTAGTGATTTTCATCATTTTTACTGAGCTCTAAATTGAATATTCATAAGGTTAAATAAAAGTTGCAGACTCAGGGCCCTTCCTGGTGGTGCAGGGGGTTAAAGCACAGCACTGAGAAGCTGAAACCACTTCCGCATGAGTTCAAGCCCCGCCTGCCCCGGAGGTGACCACATGGCGTGGCAGATCCCTCCTGACCTGCCCGCTGCTCCCCTCAGCAGTGTACTTCGTCAATCTGCCTGTTCTGCTCCCTACTCTGTCTCTGGTGAAGTCTTTCGCCACCCCTGAGTCTCTGGCCTGTGCCCCAGTTCTGAATGCACAATAAGTCTTTAAAAAAAAAAAAAAGTTGCAGGCTCAAAGGCAACGTAATAGCAAACGATGTATTTTTATATGCCATTAAAGAAGAATTACATCAGTCTTTTAATTAAAAACAAAACAAAAACAAAACCAACCTTTCGGCCCGTATTACACAGTAAGAAACAGCCTGTTCCGTACCTGTAGTTCAGGGGAGAATAAACAGGATGACAATTGTATTAAAAGTAAATGATGGAATACGGTTAAAACAAGTTTTTTGACTTGACATTTAACTGAGTGCAATAAAAGTTATTATGTTAAGACTTGAAGAAGTTCTGAAAGTTAGTACACTTTTGGAATAAAGTTTAAAGCTAAATCTAGAAGAAAATCTACTTAGTGCCATCTTAACGGGAAGATGCAGGTACAGTATACCTTGTTTCATGGCACCTCACTATCACATTCCACAGACATGTTTCTCACAAGACCCTCCACCCCGAAAAACATCACCATTTTCTCAGATAATGGTTAGCATGTTTAGCAAGCAAACATTTTAAAATGAAGTTTTGTGCCTTGTTTTTTAAGTCACAATGCTGTTTGCACACTGAGCAGATCACACACAGTGTAGCGTAACCCTAACTTTTGTATGCACTGGGAAACCAAAACCTTGCGTGACTCCTTTTACCTCAGTGGTCCGGAACCAAACCTGCCCTCCTGCCGAGGTGAGCTGTTCAGTATGTAGCACTTGCCCAGGGTTGTGCTTATAAAATACTACTGAGTTACAGCAAATTCTAGATTTAGGGACAGTTGCTGCTACTAATCCACGTGAAATGAAACGAGAACACTGGACCATTCACCGAGTGGTGGCCAGCTTGGTTCTACCAGGGCCCAGCGTGGTAGGAAGGGGAGGCTAGTCAAGGCCTTGCTGTCCCATCATCTGCTCTGCAGGGCAGGGTCTCTGACCGTCCAAAGGGAAGCAGGCTGACACGAAGGGCAAACTCAGTTTGCGACTTAACATAAGCTCTGGGCGCTGCAGCAAGTCTAGTCCTTAGACACAAGTGAGTAGCTTTGACTTGTGCCCGCCAGATAAATAGCCTGCCCTGATAGCAGAAAGGGTCACAAGGGAAAAAGCAATTTTCAAATGAATGGGCTGCCAAGGTCACCCTTTGCTTGCTCTCACGAGCTGTCCAGCCTGAGGCGGGGATTCCCTCTCAGGCCTTGCTGCAGTGCTTGGGCCCAAGTGGCAAGTGGGGGAAGGGGAACACTTAGTCCAGGGCTGTGCAGAGGGATCCCAGCAGAAGCGACTACAGGTCAGCATTCACTCAGCTGTGCTCTGGCAGCACACAGAAACCGAGGATAATTTTTTCTGATGAGCAATTTTCCAGGCACCACAGTTCTGAGGAAGAGGTAATGCAAGACATTCTGTCTATTCTCATCCAAATATAGTTTTGGCTTGCTTGATGAAGAGCGGACACATGTCTATGTACAATGTAAAATGGTTTGTTCTCATTCTCACCCCTGGGGCTTTCTGCGGTATTTTGCACTGACCGCTGAACCTCCCTCCTAAGTACCTCTAACCCGGACTTCCACATGAGTGAATAACTGCATTCTGTTTTTATGAATTCTCCATCCCTGTGTGTCCTCTAAATATCTCCTCTACCTGCCTACTTTTTCTTGTTAATTCCATTTATTGCTTCAAACATCACCTCTCAGAGGGGAAACTCAAAATCTCTACCCTTCTACTGTACTTATCCAACTTTCCTAAATGGAGGATCAGGGCCACAAACACATCCAAAATAGCACCAAACCCAAATCCAAATCTTTTTTCAGAGCACCAAAGGGGAAAAAAATGAAGCAACATGGGTCTTTAAGTCTATTTCCTGAACTCACGTGTTTTTGGCTTGCCCATCTTGGAAACACATCTGTCCCACCAATGCAGCAGATTGATCCCCCAAACACTGCAAAAATAAATGACAATGAGGAGCACGGACTAGTGCAGTACTACTAATGTCCTTAAAAAGAAGAACCATAGGGTTTATTTTTTCCTTTAAAAAAAAAAAGTATCAGGTAGTAATCACTCAAGGTTTTTTGCATTGCCTTTATTTGGCCATTTTCCCATTTCCTACAACCCCTTGAGATTACTGCTATGGAAAGGGAAAGCTAGAATTAAGTTTATTCATCCGATTCTCTAAGGCCCATACTGTGTGTGCTATGAGAACAGAGGTCAGCCAAGTTTGCTGCTCTTACTTGTTTTCCATAGTTGAGGAAGGAATCAGCTGAGTACGATACAGGAGGAAAGCGAGACCTTGGAAGGGGTGAGAGGTCAAGGTGGGACGGGAACAGGCAAATACCTGTGAGAAACTTACCCCAGATATCGGTACACCTTCCAAGGCTCCGGCTTTCTAATAAAAATTGAAAACATTATTGTGAATGGTCGTAAACGTTAGGCCCCACGAACACAACTGCGACAGGGATGAACACGAAGAGCAACATGCCAGAGCATGTGGGCAGACAAGACAAAGCATGAGTGACTCAGAGACAGCTACTAGAAGGATCCCTAGGGTGACAAGAGTACATCGCACTGGAGACTGGACATGAAACACTGGAGCAGGAGTCAGGAGACATGGGCTCTGCTCCTGGTTAGTCAGGGTTAAGCCCTGAGCGGGCCGCTGAGAATTCTCTATGCCTCTGTCTACACCATAGGGCCTGGGCTACAGGATCACTGAAGACAATGAACATCTTTCTATTATTGCTGTTACTAAGAAAAGATTAACATGTCCTTTAAAATGAGCACATAAATAGCTACCGAAGCAGCATGGACTATATTTATCTTGCAAGGCTATCTTTTGCCACCTATTCTTTCTTCCTGAGCTGACCAGTAAGAGTCACAAGAGTATTCAAGTACTGGATATTATATTTGTGCATGGCAAGCATCATTCTTGAAGTTTGGATAAGCAAGAATCACTTTATAATCATGAATAGGATTTTTCTTTTGATCAAGTACAGGCAGCATTCTAGAAAGAAAGATGAGATTGAAGTGGTTGGCTGTGAAATTTACCAAGTTTTACTTTTAAATTAATGCAAAGCAATTTGGACTGGTATTAAAGAATTAGGGGAAAGGGATATGACCCCCCCCCAAAGTGTGTGTGATGTACATACTAGGAAGAGCTTGAAACCAAAGCACTGGGTTGACCCCTCAATGCAACATTTGTCAGTCAGCCTCTGGGAGCTTCCGGTTCCCTGTCTGCGCTAGTGAGAGGGTGAGAACAGACGCCACCTCACATGGCTATGATGAAAGGAAATGACAGCATGTACGCAGGGACCCTTTACAAAATAGAAAATGTCCTCTAGATAGCAGATACTTTATTTCTATCATACTTTCTGGTTAATTGAAGACATGCTATTTTTATTTACCACATATATTCTTAAGAGAATCTAAACTTGGCTGTGAAAAGTTGATATCCTTAGAGCCATTTTAAAGTGGGGTCAGAGCTAGCCACAGCAGAAAAAGCCACTTTGCCATCTTCCTTAAACTACGTTCAGACCCCTGGACTGGGCCAAACTAGCAATATTCCAAGATGTCAGCAAGAATGAGAAAATCTATCCTGAAAGAACAGATAAATGGAAATTTCTACCTTTTACCTTGTGACCTTTCTACCTCATCATTTCACTCTGTGATTACTTCACTGGACCATTACCTCATCATCCATTTTCTCTCTAAAAGAAACCCCCAAAATTTGTCTCTCCTGGGACACGTTTTGGATTGCTCACCTGAGCTGCCCCCAAACTGCAGTTCTCTGCTAGTCCCAAATAAACACATTTTTGTCTTGCTTCTGACCTTGCTGCTGTCTTATGAAAGGTTAACATGGAAAATAAGTAAAGGTAAACTTTTATAAAGGACTGAAAGTCAATTGACAGGAAACCTAGAGACTGTATATCTTAATCTATATAATACTAAAAGAAATCTTTGCTTACACTATTGAATTATTAGCAGACAACCAGCAGGATCTACTCTGTGCGGTCAGGCACTTAAGGTGCTCCGGTTTTCTTCACAGGGAGGGGGCTCTGGAGGATTCCTGGGAAAGTCCCCTGTGAAGCATGCAGAAAAAGTGACAGTGCATTTCCAACTACCTGGCCTGAAAGACTGATCATGGTATCATTTAAAATAAACATTTAGGACACTGAAAATGACATCTAATTCCCCCGTTATGCCGAAGCACAAAGTACACGACGGTTGCACTTTGTGATGGGGACTCTCCTTTGAATTTCTCCTAACCGGAAACTGTCTTAGTCTTTTATTTTGAAACAGTACTCTCAGGCTTGTGAAAACTTGAAAACAAACAAATAAGATTAAGATTTTAAAAACCTAAAGCTTGACTAGAGGTTATAGTAATTTGATGGGTCATGGAGATTCTAGATAAATCTGTTTAGTGACTAGACTTGTGCTTGCTTAAAGCTACATGGAAATGCACTGTATCTTTTCCAAACGAATGAGTAGCATCATTGGTGGGCAACCTACTCACCAGGCTATGAGAGATTTTCTATAGTCAGCAAGGGCGAGAAAGGGGACAGAAGCATAATGTTTTAAATGCAAGAGAAAAGTAGGCCAGTTAAATGTTGTTTTTTTTTTTTAACTATCTGCTGAAACTGCTCCTCAAGAACAGCTTTTCTCCAACCCAAGTCAGTTTGTTGATAGCTATGAAATTGTCAAAGTACTTATATTGTGATAAGCAGTGACTATGCCTCCCTGAAAAAATTCCACGTTGTTTTGAAAGGCTTTACTAGAAATGCTTAAGAGTTTGTGTTCAAGCTTTATCCAGAGCACTTAGTGTCTGACACTACTATTAACTCTGTAGTAGAGTTTCTGATATTTATCATGAAAGTTTTAAATAACCCTTTTTGTAATATATTATAGATTTATTGTTAAGTTTTATCATAAACTCCAAATTTTGGTGCTCACACACCAACAATTAATTGTACTTAGAGGTGTTCATCCCTGGTGTGTAATCAGAGATAATTCAAAGAAGGTAAGCACATTTTTTGCCGAAACTACTTTTTCTCAGGGTTTCAATGAACATCAACAGTAAAAATACCCATTGTGGAAGGCCGGTTTCATGAGCAACCAAAGCAGATGCTTTGCTTTCAGTTTCTTGGCTAAACTCTGCGCAGGCTAACAAGAATCGAATATGAAACATGGCGTGGCCACTAAGAGATTCAGCAGGAAGAACTCCACTAGAATAGGAAAGTCCTTCCTATAAATTAAAAGCAGATATCACAATACTAAACTGTTATTTGGGATTACAAGAATAAGCTGGTTTAAATATTCTCATTCAACCCTGTGTAGCCAAATACTCTAATAATACCCAAGAAAAGACAATTAAAGTTCATGAAATACAAAATCAATTGGTGAGACTCTAAGATGTTACAAAACTAAATAATCAGGAGCTCTTCTTTCAGACACCATCAACATTCACAGAAATGTTACAAGTCTCATCTTCTAAAATACAATACTATTTACTTTTGTATTCTAGTAGTAAAAGTTGTTTCTGTAAGGGAAAAGAAATTCGTTTTTACCATTAGGCCATAGATCTCAGAAGAACTCCGGACATTTGGAAGAACTTTCATTGGAATTTCAAAAAACCTGAAAAACAGTAAGATTGGATGCATAACACTTTTTATTTAAACACCTGGAGACATTCATATGTATCAAAAGAGAAAATGTAAATCATAATTAGGAAGTGGGTGGATGTGTGTACAGAGTAAAACAGTAAAACAGCAGAACGTGGCTGGAATGCATGGATACTGAACATTCGAGCTTCATGTAAACAAACCAAAAAAGCAAAAAGCACACAGAAAGCAAAGAACTTCACTTAAGGAACCTATACTTTCTTGAAGAATAATCAAGACAATGACTTCACACGGCCTATTGGTTACAAAAATGAGCCAATAGTCCCTTTTAAAGGAATACATAAATGGACCTGTGCATTATAGCTAAAATAGCAACAGTCAAAGTCTGGCATTTCACTGACATCTGAACACAGTAAAACGCGTCTAGAAAAGTTTGCTGAGGCCCAGGCACAACTCACTCGCAGAGCTCCTTATCCCACTCCAAAGAGTGAATGTTGAAAAGCATCGTCCTACTTGCGTTAGTTACATCTGTACAATGGACGCCCCCATTGGTTCCTCCTGTCAAACACTGCACAGAATAAAAAGGACATGGTAAATTTGTAATTAGTTGCAACTGAATCTGTATTTTCCCAAGCGCCGTCATTAGCAGCAGAGGATATAAAGCAGAGGAATGGGGCCCTTCCGTCATTTAGCTGTCTACTTTGTAGCGGTGTCCAACAGATTCAAAAGGTGAGCCAGATATGTAATTTAAAAACTCTTAGTAGCTGTATTTAAAAAGTATAAAGGAGATGGTACAATTAAAACTTTTAATTTATCTAAAATATCCTTTTGATATAAAATAATCACTGAGACTTTTCCATTTTTTTTGTATTAACTCTTGAAATACGGTGGGTGCGTGTCACGTGAACTCACGTACATCCCAATTCAGATTAACCATGGCAGGTGCCCGGGAGGCGGATGGGTCTACGTGTCTATCATGTGAGACATAGTAAATGATGGTTAAACAAAGACCTGGTTTTGTTTTCATCTTCTTATCTTTGGAAAATGTGGAGTCTTACTACTCTGGCAAGTGAACTATGCAGAAAAGCCTGCTTCTTCAGTATCTTCCTGAAAGTTGTGCAGCTGCTGTTGCTTTGGGTTGTTTTGTTATGGTTTAGTGTCTTGTTTTGGAGTAACACTTCTCATTGGGCTGCGCCTGCCCAGACCCACCCACACTCTATCCTGAAAGCCGAGCTTTCGGCTTTCTTCCTAGTGTTACTATCCTGGGGCCTGAAATGGAAGCTCCATTGCCTTCCTGTGGTGGAGCCATGCGAGGCAAGAAAAGGAACAAGCCTGACTCAATGGAAGCAGGTGGGGGCACACACTATGGTGCCCCCGACTCTCCTGTAGCTCCCAGTTCCCACATCCTGCGTTAACTCTGGCTCAAGGCAACTGTCAGAACTCTTCCAACTATGACTGACGTGTAAAAGCTGCTGGCCACGGGAAGCCCGGAAGACCTGCCCTGCTGATCTGGCCAACGAGAGGAGGGACAATATTCTCCTGAAGCTCCCTTTGAAGGTGGAAAAGATAATGAGCTACTTAATGAAGTATTCACAAGTAAAATGATATGTCTTGGGTTTGCTTTCAAGTTATCTGTAGGGATAAGAGTATGTGGGTATAGTGGAAACACAACTGGCCACGCGTGGGCACGTTAGCTGGCAGATACAGCACAACAGGCTCCCTGTGTTTTGGGGAGTATCTGATATTGTCCCTCATAAAAATAAGAGTGAGGGAGGAAGGGAAGGAGAGAGAAAACAAGTTGTTTTGAAAATATGTCAGAAATTCCCACAATAATTTTTCATATTATTGCTTAATTAAATAAGAGACAACTCTGTAATTTTGAAAGTGAATGATAACAAGTGGTCTACGTGTTCCATCACGCTAACCAGTTATTTATTTCATGAATTTTTTCTATGAAACGGGTAGTGGAAAAGAACCATATGATAGGCAAAAAGAAAGGTTACTATAAGTAACCTAAAGTACTTATTTTAAAGGGAATATACAGAAAGATGATTTTGTAATCAACCTCCATTGCTCCTGAAGTAGGGCAAGAAAAAGTAAGGCAGGAAGTAGGCAAAAATGCCTCTCACATGAAATGTGCTGTTTCTTGAATTTTTTTTCATCAAATGTTGCCAACCCAAAAGTTTGAACTCTTAGCGGCAAACAGAGAGTAGACAAGGCAGACTACAAAATTTCTCCACACACATATTACATTAAAACATACCCAGATTAGCCACGAATCAATGGTCCCAAAAAGAGCTCTATCTTCTTCCACAGCCTTTTGAACTTTCCTTACATTGTCAAGCAGCCAACGAAGTTTCACTGCACTGAAGTAAGTGCTAAGTGGAAGGCCTGTCTTGGACTAAAAACAGTTAGGAAATTCAGCTAGCACATTAAATTCATAATGGTTTAAAATAAACAAAATAGAACCAAAAAACCTCAACTGACTAAAACAGCCAGTGGGCCTAAAGGCTACCCCATTTAGAGGCACATTTAGGGGTAAGGCTACCCTATTAGAGGTAAACATATTTTTTCCTATCTCGTGGAACAGGGAAGCATGTTCCTGAACAAAGATAAGAGTGATAGCTTGTAGTTCAAAGAGCATGCACGTAGCAAGGTAAGAGAAATTTAAATGACACAACACCCTGGAGTGCAATACGAAAAGAGATAGGTGTTAATTTTTGTAACGAGTTAGTACTAAATGCAGAACCTGGTGCCAAGCTCTGCTTTTCCTTTTGTGTGTTCCAAGGTTGCAATTGAAATCAACGGTTATCAAATTATAAACTTATGACTATTCTGTTTTAAATTTTGTTTTAAAACATGCAAGATTTGACAACAGTGTGAAAAAATTATATTTACACACACACACATATACAAATAACACAATATCAAATTAGTGGGGACTATAGCAGAGCTTAAGGACATGCCAGATTAAAACAACACAGAGTGGCTGCCTCCCTGGAGGCCTGGGAATTAAGTCTCAGCACTATCAAGCTATCGCCAGCCACTGACCCACCTGGCACAGCAGACCTCTCCTGTCTACCCTGCTGCTCCCCTCAGCTAAGTATTTCAGTGGATCCACCTGTTCTGCTCCCCACTCAGTCCGTGGTGAATCATTTCACCCCCTGCATCTCTGGCCTGTATCCCAGTTCTTGTATACATAAGTAAACAATGTAAATCTTTTTTAAAAAACCAACAACACAGAGTTACTTTATGTGAGAAAGTGTGGCCTAAATTCTGTGAATATCTTGAACAAATGGAGGAGGACTGAATGAAAGATAAAGGGTAAAAATGAAACACAATATTGGCTTATCAATCTTCCTGGAGAAAGAGTCAGATCTATGCCTTAACTGTGTTAGCGTATTAAATATAACATTTATTTGTAACACCTGATGAAAATGGTAAAGAAGATGCATGCATCTTTTGTTCCCTTCTTCTGATCCCTAACTACAGGAAGTGACATTTTCCGTCATATCTTCTATCGGTATATTTTGTAAGAAAACTCAAAGCAAAATATTTAATACTTTCATGCAAACTGCAAGTCTTAACTCACGATTTTCTAACTTTCCTAGAAAAAAAATACCAACCTCAAAAATCATGACAGCAAATAATTATGGGGATATTCTGTTTCGATTTGAAGGAGCAGGATTATCCCACAAAGCCAAATACCTTGTTTCCATGATTTAGGTAAAAAGTCTAAACATTGCTAGAAGGGGCACTGGAGAGAAAAGCATGCATCCCTTGAAGCAAAGTATGGCTGGAGGTGTGAGTGAACCTTGGAGAGGGTGACAAAGAGAACCGAATAGGAAATGGAGCATACCCAACGTTATTTGGGTGAGTGAGGGCAGGAAATGGCTTGTTAAATTTCTGTAATAAAGGGGGCTTGAATAATAGTTTCAGAACCAAGAACCACCAGAATATGCCATAAGAGTTCCTCTGACAAATAAAAAAGGACTACCCAATAAAAAGAAAATCTTCCTTTTGGATAATAGAAGAATTTAGCCTTGGCTGTTTCAAAAATTGCCTCTCCATTTATCTGAAGAGAGATCTATGTGAGAACTGAAAAACAAGGTTATTTAAATAGTCTTCATCATATAATGAAAGTAGAAGAGGAATTCAATAAAGGGGTGACGTGTCTTCTGTATTCTCTCCCTGGATTCAGTAGCCTAAACATGCAGAAGCACCCAGAACTTTCTCTGATAGATAGTGAAAAACAAGAGGGATAGCTTGAAATAGGAAGGCTGAATTACAGGAAGTAACACATGGGGAGTATGACTAAATTCACTGGGACATGTTCTAACCCCTTGTAGCCTACCAATTGTGGAGTAATATTGCTTCAATTCACCACAGGACAAGAAAAGTAAAAAACTTGAGTTGGCCTTAGTTATCTGAGGAGAAATATTCCACAAATAGTATCAAATAACTATAGTGCAATAAAATGCAAGTCCCAAAGAGTCTTTCTGGAGAAATCTCTAAGCTTAAAAAAAAATTCTTATAGTATACTTTTGAAGAGATCTCTTACCTTGACAAAGTTATTATTTCCTGGAATTCTTTTACTGAGAGTCTCAACGGTAGACTGTGTTCTTAGATCAAGCCACACTAGATACCAAAAGACAGATATATATACTTACAAACATTTTACTTTCCACTTTTAAACTTTAAATCCATAATTAATTGCATTAACCACAAAAGACAGATATATATATATATATATATGTATATATATGAAAAACTTCATGAAAAAATTAGGTTTTAATGAAATCACTGTCAAGAATTGGAGACCAATGATTAGTTTCCATAAGCAATTAAAATGCTATAGCTTTTGAAAGACAGAAATTAGAAAGTTAGAAATGAATGAGCATCATGTTAGAAGAGAAAACAGATTAATGAGGGAGAACTTAAAGCATTTATGTAAAATTCCAGACTAAGTCAGAAGAACAATACAAACCATATGGGACTTATTTTTGTTTCCTTTTGTAGAGAAAGAATGTTTGCATAGGGATTTTCTAAGCAGTCATGAGTGCAGAGAAAATCTACATGGTAGGCAGGCCAGTGCAGAATGCATAGCCCAGGATCACCGTACCCCAGAGAAAGTATGTGGGAGCAATTTGTGACCAAGTAGAGAGGTTGATACTATCATGGAGAGAAAAAATAAGATTCTGTCTCTTATATATGAAATACTCATTTACATCAAACTCTTTCACAGTAGCTAGAACCTGGAATCATTTAAAAAATTAGCCAAAGATCACCATTTTTCCTCCATGTTGTATGGTGAAAAAATAAAAGCCCTCCATTTTAACAGACCAATCTTATCTTTACTATGTAGCTGTCACCCCCTTTTTGATTCCCTCATCAAGTAGTATTTTTATTCTGTGACATGTCAGAAGGCTTGAAAAAGAGAAGGGATTGAATATACACAGTATGTAAAGTAATTGTAAATGGTAACCAATGGGAAGGACTGAGCTTTAGCTGTCAGACTTAATATTGTACTTAACTTTTGTAACAGTTAAATCGGCAGTGACCACTCAGTATTTTCAGGCACCAACTGTGCTCACATAGATGCCTCCTGCAAAGACCCAGGCCCGTAGTACATTTACAAGGCACCATAGTCTCTGAGCACTGGCACTGTCTAGTCTCATCTATCCTTAACTGTCCAAGTCCTATCTCTACACTGAACAACCAGCTAGTTTCTGAAGTGAACTTTCAAAGATAATTTCTAATGACTTCAACTGTCTTGTCCCTTGAGGGCTGTCTTTACTTGATTTTAACAGTGGCTACTTCACATGAGATTTAAGTCGGGGACTTGAGAACAATACACTGGCTTCCACCGGTGTGAAGAGCAGTAGGGAAAGGTATATCACAATGAGGAAATGAGAAGACAACAAGAAGACCATGGAGATACAGGGGCTGGACACAACACCTGCACTGGCTGCCTCACCTGCTTTGTTTTTGCTGCTTCCGGTAGAAGTACTCAAATTCTTTTCAGTCAATCATTTCTCCCTCACTCTCAAATGCATAGTTTGCTGAGTTTTGCCCCTACCTCCATTCAGCGGGCTGTGCTGAGGTGAGGGGTGGGTTCAGGAGATGCGTGTGGTCAAGGCAGCTCAATCAAGGTTTGTGCTCCATCTCTGAGCCCTGTCCCCAGCTGAGCTGGGCAGTGGGCAGCTGAGGCCTGCTGCCCTCAGGAAGAGAGAGCTGAAGTGGCCACCTCTGGAGCCACCTCTGAAGAGACATGTGGGGGATCCAGGTGATACTGTGTGATACCCCCTTTTACTTCATTTGGTTGGGTTCTATTTATTCCACATGCTGTCATTGATACAAGCACTAGCACGTCACTACAGAGTTGGCAAGACCTCCCATGTCCAGGAAACAAAGGCAGGCTACTTTCTCAGGTGATCATATTGTATGGCTGTGACAAGAGTGGCCCTTTCTCACAAGCAAGCCACTCGCCTGCCTAACAGTAGTAACTGGGACAAGTAGAGGGATTTGAGAGAAAAGTTTTAAATCTGTGATTTGATAGAACTAACATGCACATCTTAATCCCAGTGTTTCAAACTGAAGTAGGCTAGAGGTTCAAAATCAATTTAGGGTCTTTCTATGACCTAATTAAAAACTACTGAAACAGAATGGATTGGCATAACAAACATCAGGATTCACTGAAAGTGTGAGACATTTGTTTATGTGGGTTTGCTGAATCGTGACGTAAAATATATTTTTTACCAGGAGACACAAACCAGGCACATGAAAATCACTGTCTACGCTTTTTGTTTAATAACTCAGAACCTAGATCAGTGTTTTCCTATTTTTAGATAGACGTAACAATTGCTGGGGAGCATAAAGATGGACCGTTTTTCCAGAAATTCTGGGATAAGAGGTCTGCTGGTGGGGTTGAGAAATAAATCTCACAAATAGGCACCTTACCCTAAGAAACACTGCCAGACTCCAGAGCAGTGGTTCCTATCCAGAAAGCATGTCAGAAGCACCTGGAAAACTTTGAGATAACACATCGCAGACCCCATGTTATGGGATTCTTGGTGTGGGTCTAGGCAAGCAGGGCCTGAGTCTTGCTACTTTTGCTCTAGGTAACCCAACGTATTCAATGGTATGCTAAAACTTGAGAAGCTCCTGCCTGGCTGTTAAGGTCACTGGATTTGTCCCAATCATTTATATAAAAATGAAACTAAAGACAGATTGACAATGAGGCCACTCCCTGAATCCTAGTGACTAGGTGACCTGCCTCGTTGACAAGGTAACTGGGCGCTTAGCTCCTTACCTGAACGCTTGCAACTTTCCACAGCAGTTAGCCACAGAATTAACCCTTCATAAGAAACAATCCAAACACTGGCCGTGAAATCAGGAGACTGAAGTTCTGTGCCTGACTTTGCAACCAGCAAGGACGTGACTCATGTAAGTCACTGTGCCCTTCTCAGACTGTATTTCCTGAACATAAAATGAGCAGGTAGATTCCATGGCCCCTAAAAGTCCCTCTCCTTCCCTTGCCATCAAATTTACTAAGTTTCAATAGCCCAAGAGTTTAAGACAATTAGAACATATGAAATGAATTAGTAAAACTGCCAAAGAGAAAAATGTCAGTAGTTGGTCCACTACTAATTAATTCACAAATGCTCAGAATTAATTGAATTAAGAACACAAAAATTAGAAAACTCATTAAAGAAGCTAAGTGGACAGAATTAGATTTGCAGAATGAGACACCAGAAGCCAAAGAGAGGACCCCAGGCGGGAGGACCAGGCCTCTGGTGAGGTAATTTCGAGAACAATCAAAAGAAGTGCCGGACCCAGAGCCAGCAGCAGTCATTTCCCCGACACGCCTGAGTTGGAGGCTGGGAGCTGAGCAGCAGCCAGAACACCAGTACCTGAGGAAGTGCCAGCAGCTGGAACTGAAGAGCCAGAGGGGACAACGGCAACTGGATCGGAAGGGCCAGGAGAGACTGGAGCGGCTGGAGTATTAGGAGAAATAATGGCAATTCATGCTAGAGATGGCCAGATTCAAGGTCTGTGTTATCTGGTTGCCCACTGAGGGCGTAGGGCATCACGTGGGCAAGAGCACCAAAATGAACACTTTCAACACAGTCAAGCAGAATAAGAGAAGAGGAGACATGGACTAGAAGGGGAGCAAAGGCAGTCCACCCAGCAGTCTCTGCTTCAACAGTGTTTCTGTTCGGACAGAGGACAGGCAGAGGCCTGCTTCCTGTTCAGAATGACGCTGACTTATGTCGTGACAGACTTAGTAGTGTCCTCCTTGGAGACGGGCCTCAGCGGCTTACTGACTATTCACGCAACCGCTGACTCACATGAAGTAGCCAGGAAGCATACCTCTAGAGGATGTGAGCGAGGAATGCCAAGAAGCATGCTAAGAAGAATGCCAACTGCAATGCCTACGGGAGACACGGAAGGGATGGTGGGGAAGACATGCTCCCAAGAATGCACTTTCTGGTGCACTCGCCTGGAGGCAGCAGCCACCGCCACAGAAGGGGCTGACATGACCAGTGGAAATGTGGAATTTCTCGGACCCAAGGTTGTTTGGAAAAAATAATAAGCGAAGTATATGCTATGGGCTTCAGAACACTGGACAGCCTGCCTCTAGAAGGCATGCCCTTTATTAGGACCAAGCCAGGTGGATTTAAGGGATCCAGACCAACTGGATAGGTTAAATAAACCAACTTGGGTGATCTACAGCTTTCATTTGTGTTCAATAAAGTCCCTTCCAATCTATGCCTGGCTGGTTTAGTTTGTTCTGAAAAACAACGTTTTAAGAGTAAAGACAAATGCAGTTGCCTCAGATACCCAGGGACCAGGGCTGGCTTAGTGATACAGTCTAAAAAACAATTGTAGAAAGCAAGTCTGAAAAGTAATACTAGAAATTTGTATCACTTTCGGTTAGTCATCACAACGGAAGAGAAAAATACATACAAATACATTAGAGATAATCGAAATTGTTTTCCGTTGGCTGGAAGCAAAGCAAATAGTACATCTCCTTGGATGTGGCTTGTGAGGAGGAGCTTCTGGCCTGACTGGCAGTGAGATGAAAGGGTGAGTCGGTGATGGAACACACCCCAAGCAAGGATTGCTGACAGTTACACAAAGTGTCCTTGTGTCGTTTCCCCACAAGAGATAGTAAGATAGATTGAATGGCCACGTGTCAGTACTTGCTGAAACTCAAGCTATTAATTACTCTAAGAAGGTTGTATGCAAAGGAGAAGAGATATTATCAGTACCTGTCCCTCCACCTAATGACATATTCAGAGATTGGGCTGGAGAAAGCAAAAGCAAGCTGGAGAGAGTGGGTGGGTTAAATACACACACACACACACACACACACACACAAATGTGTAAATAAATAAAGTGGGAGCTGAATCCTGTGTCGGCTCTAGGTGTATAAATGTGAAACGCCAGTGACTGTTACAGATGTGCCCAGGCCTGCATCACCTGTGGTGTATAAATCAAGGACTCCACCTGGCATTCTGGATTGAAAGGGCTACCAGCAATTCAGGACAGCAGCACGGCTAACGCTTCCTGAAGGAAGCCAGGCCCTGTTTTCAGTACCCTGTAGGAATTAACTGAAGGATCTTCATGGCATG